TCTGGTGAAGCTTTCCTGGGCATTTTTCTTCTAACTGTTCAACTCTTTCTCAAAACACTCTCACCATATGCAGATGTTACCATTCTTTGGCCCTCCAAAAGGCCAACAAGTGAAATGCCTTGAGCATCCCAGAAAACTGTTGCCATGGCCTGTGTTCTTGACTGGATAACTTCCACCTCTTGGTAGCCAAGGCTTTGATTGTGCTTTGCCTTAAAATTCTGCTGGTAAAGCCATGGGTCATCTCCTATTACAATTGCTCAAAGAAATGCTTTAGAATCTCCGTCCCACTTGTTTAAAATTTCCATTGAAAACTGTTCTTGTCTGCAGCTGACCTGAGCTCAACAGTTTTGGCACCCATCAAGCAGAGTTTGCTCATTTATTTATTTTTTTTCAGTTAGAATTGTGTAAGCTGAACCAATTGAGATGTCTAGGCTATTGGCCCTGGTTTCTGCTGTTCACTGTCAGTTCTCTCCAATTAGGGCACACACAGGATTACTTTTTTCCTTGTATCAACTTCAACATTGTCTCGTGCCTTCTTAAAAGGAGTTATCCATTTGTAAATTGCTGATTTCTTTGGGGCATGGTCCTTGTATGCTTTTCATAAAGCATCAGTGATTTTACCACATTTTTCCATCCAAGCTTCACCGTAAACTTGATGTTTGTTCTTGCTTCAATGTTAGCAGAGAATATTCCTGTGGTAGGGGCAACATTATCTCACACCAGATCTGGTTCAGACTTTATTTTTCCTTTAAGACAAAGATTTTTGCTATAGGGTGCATGTGCTTGCCGGAGAAACAGAGAGAGATAGAGACAGAAAGTGAGAAATCTCTCCCTTGGGGGTATGGCCACGGCACAGTCCCTTCTCCTCCATTTTCCTCACGGGGTTTTGGGTACGCACGCACATGCACCTGGTATTAGTTTTAAGCCTGAGGGTCCGGGACTCAAACCACAGTCGACTACGTGGAACCATGGTCAACTACATAGGTAGCTTGGAGATTAAGGAGCTGGACTCTTGCATGGCCAACTATGGCTCGAGTCCCAGACCTGGAGGCTTGAAAAATCATGCCAGGGGGTGTATATGTACGTGTCCTAAATCCTGAGAGGAGAATAGAGAAGGAAGAACTGTGGCATGCCATGCCCTCAGTAGTGGTGGAGGGTGATTTCTCACGTTCCCTCTCACTGTCTCTGTCTCTCCAGTGGATGCACACATCCTGTGGCAAAAGCCAAAAACAAAACCAAACAAAAAACGAAAACAAACTTTCCAACATGAAGGAAAATGTTTGAGATGATGGATACACTAATTACCCTAATTTATTATTATACTTTGTGTTCGCATCCTGAAAGATGACACTGTACTCAATAAATATGTTCATTTTTAAAAGTCTGCTTATTTATATACTTCTTCCAGTGAGTGCAAGAGACCGAGAGAAACGCCACCCTCCACAGGTTCTTGATGTCACATCTACCCCAGCCTCCATCAGCCCAGATCCCAGGCGTGTGCATGTCCAGAACACTCAGGGAGGTCTCTGGATGCAAACCCAGAACTTTCCCATGTGGAAGGAGCTTTGCAGAGCTTCACATTTCACCTCTGGTCCCTATGTATATTACTATGTGTCAATTATTTTTATGCTAGGAAAAAAAATACATTTATTACAAAAACATGTAAAATCCATTCTTAGCTGGCAGGCTTTCCCCTGAATCTGGTCTTAGGCTTCAGAAGTGGATTATAGTTTATTGACTATGAAGGTTTCTTCATTTGAGTTAGACACCAAGTAAATGTTTCTTCTAATCCTTACAAGATCCGGCAAGGGAGGTCTTATGTGACAACTGCATCCTGACATATCTCCTTCTCCTTTTATTTATTATTTTTTTTTAATAATTAGTTTATTTGACTTTATTTATTTATCCATTTATTTATCTTTACCAGAGAGGGAGGGAGTGAGGGAGGGAGAGAGAGAGAGAGAGAGAGAGAGAGAGAAAGTGAGAAAGCAAACCACCAGGAAATAGGGGGACCAGCAGTTAGCGTAATGGCTATGTCACTGGACTCCCATGTAGTCGACTGTGGTTCGAGTCCCGAATCTGGTGACTTAAACTCATACCGGGCATGTGTGCGTGCGTGCCCAAGATCCCAAGAGGAGAATGGAGGAGAAGGGACTGTGGCATGGCCATCCCCCCTGGGGGGTGATTTCTTCTCCATGTCTGTCTGTCTTTCTGGCGAGCGCACGTGCCCTATAGCAAAAAAACAAACAAACAAACAAAAAACAAAACAAAAAAAAACCTCTCCAACAACAACAACAGCAACAACAACAAAGTAAGGAAATGGAAATTTGCAAAGGCCACACAATCCACCCAAGAGCATGGATTTGAGTCCGGCTGGCAGGGCAGCTGGTCTTAGCTACTGCACAATACTGCTTCCCGTTAGGGACTACAAGTGTGGCTTTGGACAAGTCCTTTTCTTTTTACTTTTCCTTCTTTTCTTTTCTTTTCTTTATAAATGCAGCCCCCATCTGCACAGTGAGGGGGCGGGACAGCGTTTTTTCCTCCATGTGAGAGGCACACCTGATGGTATGGGAAATGATTTCCACGTTTCAGACACAGCGCATTAAATAGCATTCAGGGTAAGGAGATAATTCCCTTTCCAAGTCTCTTCCAAGTCTTTCAATGGTATCGGGGGAAAAGGTGTAGTCTGCTGCTAATATATATTTAACTCCTCTCTGAAACATACTAATTTCCCTTTTTCTACAAGAGCAGTCTTTCTTTCTTTTTCTTTCTTTTTTTTTTTTTAAGTGAGATTTTTGCTGTAGGGTGCATGCGCTTGCTGGAGAGACAGAGAGAGGCAGAGAGATGGAAAGCAAGAAATCATCAGCCCGGGTGGATGGCCACACTGCAATCCCTTCTCCTCCATTCTCTTGAGATTTGGGGCACTCACGTGCATGTGTCTGGTGTGTTTCAAGCCTGCAGGTCTGGGGCTTGAACTGCGGCTGGCCATGTGGGAGTCCAGCACCTTAACCACTATGCCACCTGCTGGCCCCAAGAGTTGACTTTCTAACTCAGAGTTTTAGCAGGCGGTGATATCTAACTAGAGCTTTCAGTATTGTTCTTGTATTCTTATTGTTATTTTCAAATGTTTTTGTGGAGTTTCAAAAATGTTTTTATGGGACCAGCAGTTAGCGTAATGGCTATGTCGCTGAACTCTCATGTAGCCAACCGTTGTACGAGTCCTGGACCCGGTGACTTAAACTCATGCTGGGCACATGTGCATGTGTGCCCAAGATCCTGAGAGGAGAATGGAGAAGCGATTGCAGCGTGGCCATCCTCCCTGGGGGGGTGATTTCTCACTTTCTATCTCTCTGTCTCTCTGTCTTTCTGGTGAGCGAGCAAGCCCTATAGCAAAAATCTCTCCAAAAAAAAAGATTTTATGATTAGTTTTTCTTTTTATGCAGACATTAGTGTTGTCATTGCAGTGATTCTCAGTTCATTCCTTCAGTTATAAGATAGCTGCAGAAACTCCTGCCATCACACCCAAACTGGAGTAAGAGTGAGGGCATGTTTCAGCCACTCTACTTGAGTACGGATTCTCTGGTTTCCTTACTGTGGGGTTTGAGGCAAATTATTTGCCTCTCTGTGCCTCAGTTTTTCAATCGATAAAATAATATTTAAAGTATTTAACTCACAGGGTTACAGTGAGACTGCATTGTGGTTTGTTGTGATGAACATAGCCTTATTAAAAGGCTGAGGAACCAGGATATTGGCAGTATTTTAAAAGGTAAAAAATGGGCACGATAAATGAGTACCTACCTCATTCAGGGCTGTGCGTGTTACATGGCTTAGTTCACATAAAGTCCTCAGGATTGTGACTAGCATGTAGATAATGGTCAATGAATGTCAGCTATTCTTTTTTTTTTTTTAAAGAATTATTTATTCGAGTCTATTTTTCATATTATTATTATTATTTAATTTGCTACTGGGCACATGTACTCACCAGAAAGACAAAGAGAGAGAGAAAGAACTACAGTTGGAGTCTAGCGCCTTTAACTGCCATGCCACCTGCTGGCCCCAGCATCAACTAACGTTCAAGTATGGAGTTTTGTTTTGTTTTTTTCAATTATTTTGTTTAACTTTATTTATTATTATTATTATCATTATTATTTTCCAGTTTGATCAGGGAGAGACAGAGAGAGAGAGAAAGTGAGAAAGCAAACCACCAGGTCCGAGACTTGAACCGTGGTCGGCCATGTGGGAGTCCAGTGCCTTTAACCACCGCGCCACTTGCTTGATGTCGCACAGTGCTATCCAAGGTCCTAAAAATGCTCAGGAATCCTCAAGGCCGATGTTAATACGTGTGGTTGCTAGGTCAGCAATTGTGCTCATGGTCCAAGATGTCTTCTTGCCAACAGTTGCACAATGGAATATTTCTCAGATGCATTTGTGCAAGGTGGAGAATGTGGTCCTGGACAGGAAAGACTTCGTGAAGATTTAGGATTAATGTATACTAAGAATGAGGATGCCGTGACTAAAGGAAAGCCCCAATAAACAGAAGAGGTGTCATTCAATCCCTCCCGCCCCGCCCCTTCCTGTGCTCCCACCCCCACTTACTTGAACATTCATGACTAGCTATTATATCAATATTTCCAATAATGTACAAAGGAAAAATACAGACCTGGGCTTTCATGGAAAGGATTCTAACTCTCACAACCAGAATCCCTTCCATAAAGAAAAGGTTACATTTTTCTAGATCTTTAACTTTTCCTTCAGCATTTCAGTACCCGACTTTTTGAAGAGCATCTTTTCTGAGGAATGCTATTTCCTGGCACAACACAGTCTTTGTCAGGTGACTCAGTTTGATTTTTTTTTTTTTTCAATATTAAGTGGCCCCAAATTACAAAGAAAAAGTGGGCCCTGGGTATCAGTTTGATGTCAGGGTTTTTCCGTGTTTGAAAGAATGCTTTAAATATGGGGAGGTGTGAAGGCATCTGCAGACTGAGCTTCCCTGACGGCGAGATGTGAAGGCATCTGCAGACTGAGCTTCCCTGCCAAGATGCTTCTGGTCACGGTCGTAGCCTCCACTCTGCTCCTCTGCTCTGTAGCCAGCCAGGAGTGTTCCACCTCGGAAGGGATCTGGAATCTCAACTCCCTCATCCAGAAATGGCAGGTAGACTGCAGAGGTGGGGCTTGGGGGCTGGGGAGGGGTGCCAGCAGGAAAGACAGCTACTGATAATTGAAGTAAAAAGGTATCTAGGAGGTTGAAAACAACCCACCACTCATGTGTTCTTGCTTCTCTACTCTAGGAAGAGCCGTCTGCAAAATGCAATTGCAGTGCCAATGTGAGTGAATGCTCTTTTCAGGACTTCCCAACCCCAGTTTTACTTTCCTGCCTGGAATCTTCACTCTGAAATTTCTCTTTTGCAGGTGACCAGTTGTTTGTGTCTGCCCATCCCTTCTGTGAGTATAAGAAAAGAATGTAATCTTGATCCTTTTTGTTAAAAGGTTTTCAACAAAATGAATTGCCTTATTTGATATTTCTAGTTAGAAATAGTTATTTAATTGTAATTGTTACAGACTTGTGTGCCCCTTTAAAACCAGGCTCTTGAAATTTTATAGCACACAAATGTCTTTGCATTTGGTTTGCGCTATGCCCCTTGAGGAGTGCGAACGTTTTCCGGCACAGGAGCTCTGACGGGACTTACCAGCTTCACAGCGATATGAGACCAATGCTGCTTCAATGGACTTTCAGTGTCGATCCTTCCTGAGCCAGTGATATGTGGGCCATAAGATATTCAGCATTTTGTTATAAAATAGGCTTTGCCTAAATGATTTTGCCCAACCCTGAGTGTTCCCAGCATGTTTAAGGTAGGCTAGGCTGGGCCATGGTGCTTGTTAGGTTAGGGTTATTAAGTGCATTCTTGTCTTACGATACTTCCAGTTTACAATGGGTTTATTCGGATGTAAGTCAAGAAGTGTATGCACTTCAAAAAGAATCTTGAATCTCTTTTTAGATGATTGGCCATGTGCACAATGAAATCATACTAGAATGAAAAATATAATCGATGATAGGGCTGGTGTCATTTTGTTTTTAAAATTCATTGCTGACAGCTAGGGTTGTGAAACAATGTAAATAAAATGACAACTCTATCTTTCATCTGGCTTACACTGCTTGCTTCCCCTCCCCTCCCCTCCCCTCCCCTCCAGCAAATAGAGTGTCTGTGGTTGTGGGTGGGGGAAGTAGAGAGGCTAGAGGGCCTCTCCCCACTCTAGCAGGGAGGAAGGGTAGCAGGAAGTTCTGATTCCTATTTCAAAATTTGGGGTTAAGGTGAGAAAAAGCGCTTAACCACGGTGCAGTGCTTTGCTGTCTCTCAAGCAAGGCCTGATAGACTCTGAACTTCTCATCCCAGCTGAGGTGAGACAGGATGCCCAAGAGCCCACCCGCTAGATGAGAAAAGGCTGGGGCTTTCTTGTCCCCCCAGCCTCTCCGACTCAGTTTACAGTCCACTGGCCTATTCAGCTGGCACTTCTAGCTGCTGTGAAGATGCTTTTCTTTACACAGTATTTTCTTCCTCTTCCTTTCTTTTTTCTTCTCTTTTCTCCCCTCCCCTCCTTCCTTCTCCTCTCCTCTCTTCTCCTCTCCTCCTCTTCTTCAATTTGTTATCTGTGCTGGGGTGAGGAGAATAGATTGAGAGGGAGGAAAGTGAGAAAGCATGCCGCTGGAGTGATGGTCGCACTACAATCCCTTCTCCTCCGTTCTCCTCTTGGGATTTTGGGTATGCATGCACGTGCCCCCGGCATGTTTTTCAAACCACTGGGTCAGGATTCAAACCATGCAGCCAGCCATATGAGATCCAGCCACGCTGACCATGCCACCAGCTGGCCCTACTCAGTACTTTCAGACCCCTTTGTCAGAAGAATTAGAGCAGGGAGCATTGACTGAAAAGGAGACTCGGAACTAGAGATTTTCTCAGCCTGTAGATGTCATGTATCCTGCACGGAACATGCGGGAGACTCCAGGAATGTCCCTGTGGAAAAATAACCTCACCTTGAAATGCTAAAGATCATTTTCTAGGCTGACAATGGAACTATCTGAAAATAATGCCAGTTTGGGTTACATTGGTTAAATTAAAATAGTCTGGAAAATTATTCTGTGATTCTTTCTCAGAGCTGTCCTTGGAATGCTCCTTTTCATAAATCCTTGTTATTTACCAGGACAACTGCACCACGCCCTGCTTCCAGGAAGGACTGGCACAGATGACCCATGTCATGGCAAACACGGCATCCTCACTGATCTTCTATAAGGTGAAAAGAACAGTTCAAGGCCTGAAGAACAACAAATGCCCTGTGAGTTTGCTTCTTTCTGTAATCCTGCTCTGGTTAGTCACTTGTATGTGAAGGCGGATGCCAGCGTGGTGTGAATGAGAAGGAACGATAAACTTGGAGTTGGTAGTTCAAGGTTGAGAAGGGACACTGAAGGAATTGAATCCAAAACAATAGAATTAAAGCAAGATCTGCCACAGATGGTCTGTTGTTTGTTTTCTCTAGTTCGAAACAAAACAAAACAAAACAAAACTCTCACACCCATAGGACCATTAACTTGTGTCCACTTAATGAATAATGAAAGAATTTATCCTGGTTGCAATTATTGGGTTGTTGGAAAAGTTGTGTGTATTTTCCGTTTTTCCATGTAAAAAGGCATCGTGACTTCTCTGACAACCCAATGGAACCTACAATCTAGAGAATTAGAGTTATAGATCACACGATAATAACCTATCCTAGAGATTCAGTTTGCTAACTGAATAGACATTGTGGCTAATAAGTTAAAGGAGATGTTTCAGTTTACTAAGGAATTGTTTAAAGAAACACGCTTGCTCCCAGATCAAGATGCAAGCTTCCACCTGCCTGAAATGCCTACAGGGTGGTTCCTGGTGGGAAGGGCTGACATTCCTCGCACCCAGCTAGTTAGCTACATGCCTTCAGACCGTCAACAGCATCTACTAGTAAATCTAGGTGATTAACATATACCATTTCATTGACGACCTATCCTAGCGACAATCGTTAGACTTACCCTCCTCACTTTATAGAGGAGAAAGCGGAAGCTCAGTCAGGTTAACTTGGTTAATTTGCCAAAGACTATTTATCTATAAGTGATAGCGCTGAGATCTGAACTCAGGTCTATGTGACCCCGAAACCCTACTCTTAGCCATCGTGCCATGAAATGAACTTGGAAAGACAGTCCAGAATGATAATATAATTTTAGGTTTCAAAGCATCCTCTAAAGGGGAGGTTTGGGGGACCCTTAGGTGTCTAAGTGTGTGCATGTATGTGAACAGACCCCTTAAATCCTACCATGAAGTCAACACCTGCAGTCTTTATAAAATATCGGTCAGCCTGGGCCTGTCCACTATTCGCTCCACGTCTCACCACCACCTCTTTCAACCTTCCCCAACTCTGGGCAGAGAGGTTCCTGGGTCTGCTTGGTTCCACCCTGTTTGAATCGTTCTGTCCTTGTCACCTTCTGCCCTGCAGTTCTTTTCCTGTGAGCAGCCATGCAACCAGACCACAGCCGGCAACATGCTGACCTTTCTGAAGAGTCTCCTGGAAGTTTTCCAGAAAGAAAACGTGAGAAAGATGAGAGATCGAGTATGAAGAACCAATATTATTTATTCTAATTCTATTTATTGCATCTAAAAGTCTTCTCTTTAAGTCGTTAAAATTAGACCATTGAGTAAGCTACTCTAAATCAGTTTTGACCGTGTATTTAAATTTTTATCTCTGTTTTGAATAAATACATATATATATAAACACAAGTGGGTCTCTAGGTTCTTATTTATTCCTTATTGCTCACAACAAAGAAAGCTTCAACCTATGTCAAAGGGCAGAATGGATCAAAGACTATTTAGCAATAAGACTTACTACCCTGAGTGGACTTGAAGGTTCGTGAGCCCAGGCTTGAGCCTGCAGGGGTACAGCTGTGAAGGGTGCACACAGGCCATTCTAAGGGTTGCCACCAGGGGAGGCTAAGAGCACGCCTGAGGGAGGGAAGCACAGGGCATTGGCAAGGATTTTGGGGTCCTAAGAAATCAGCCGTGGTCCAAGACAGGAGAAGGCAAAGTTTGGTAAGTTCAAGAGGTAGGAAGCCTCTTGAGATTGTGAGCAAGAGAGCAAAGTGCTTGAAGCTGACCCAGGAAAAGGTGCAGGCCCTTCAGGTGAGAGTACCTGGCAGAGAAGCCTTGAGATGGACACTGTCTATTCACTGACAAGGCCTTCAGTGTGCACCCACCACATGCCAGCTGCATGCCCAACTGGGGTACCAGGTCTATTGGGATATCCCTGGAGGGATTTTTTTTTTTTTTTTGCCATATAGCGCGTGTGCTTGCCAAACAGAGAGAGACAGAAAGCAAGAAATCACCCCCCAGGGGGGATGGCCACGCCGCAATCCCTTCTCCTCCATTCTCCTCTAGGGATCTTGGGCACGCATGCACACGCATCCAGCGTGAGTTTTAAGCCACCAGGTCCGGGACGCAAACCACGGTCAACTACGTGGGAGTCCAGTGACATAGCCATTACGCTAACTGCTGGTCCCTCTCTGGAGGGATCTTCACACTAGGTTGTCTGACTGACAGGGTATGGCTGTGGTTATCCATCTCACCTTAATGCTCAGTCTGTCCCCCACCCCGAGACCCCAATCCCAGCCTCTATCCACAGTACCTACCACCTCTAAGATGCTTCTGCATCTATTCTTCGCCGTGTTGACCACACCGTCCACCCTTCCCCGAGGGCAGAGGGCTTAGTGTGGTTCACTGTTGTACCCCAAGTGCCCGCACTGAGCTGGCATGGAGCTGCACTCTGCAGTACAGACTGAATGGATGACAGGCCTCCGAGATGCAAGAGCACAGGACACGCTGGTGACGAGATCAGCAATGTGCATGCCCGGAGAAGAGACAGGACTCAGGACCAACTACAGCTGCTCGGAAGGTGCTGTCCTTTCAAACACCTCCAGGCAGGACCCGGCTGAAGTGGACTCCACTGACCGCTCTGGAGAAGGAGACTCTCAGCAGCCACCAGCTGGCCCTTCCTGGCCCTGTGCTATGGGCAGGGTTAAGGGTCAGCATGGTTTGGGGTCAGGATGGTTTAACAACCAGAATGGCCTCTCAGCCACTGCGTAAGACTGAGAGGTTTGGGAAGAAATGAGAGGCTTTTCGTTCTTTGTTCATGACAGAGTACATGTGCACATGTGAGTGAGAGAGAATGAGATGGGAGCACCCTCCACAGGGTCTGGCCGCTCTGCAGCACCCTCTCTCATTCTCCAGCCCATGGGACTTTCGGGCACTTGCCCAGTGTGTTTCTCAGGCGGACCAGGCTGGGATCCGGAGCTGGGATCACTGTGTGATCGGCCTCTCTCGAGACATGCACTGGGGGCTGGGCGGAGGGTCATGGAGCCAGCCTAGAGACGTAAAGGATGAAGTCTCCTGCAGAGAGGAGTTTTTTAGGTACTGCCAAAATTAGACTTGCTTCCCTTTCTGGGGGTGTCTAGCCCGTATTTGGATACGTTTCATCACAATAATATAAAATGTTTAGAGCAGCAAGAGACAGAGCCCCTCAAAGGCTTGCCTCGGCTTTACTCCCTCAGTCATGTCAAGCAGTATCCAGATGTGATGGTGTGGCCAGCAGCCCTCAGCCAAAGGGGTGACTCCGATCATCTGAGTGGAGTTGTATGGTACCCTAAGCAGGGGCTGAGAAGAGTCTGTCAGTATATTCATTATTAACATCAAGCATTTACTATCTCAGCATTACTCTGTAGGTTTTAGCATACAATATCTCATTTAATCCCCCGACAACTGTAACGAATAGGTGTTATCACTACTTCTGCTTTATAGATAGAGAAGCCCAAGCTCAGGAAGGTTAGCTGACTTCCCCAAGATCCCACAGCTAGTAAAACAGAACCAGAATTCACCCCCAGCTCCCAGTGCTTACAAACCCTCTGCCTCTTCCATTCTGTTCTTTTCTTTTTTTTTTAATTTAACTTTATTTATTTGTTTATTTATTTTAATTTGACCAGAGAGGGACAAAGTAAGAGAGAGAGGAAAAGTGAGAAAGCAAGCTGCCAGGTCCAGGACTCAAACCACAGTTAGCCATGTGGGAGTCCAGTGCCCTTCACCATGCTACCTGGTGGCTCCAAACCTTTGTCTATGTCAAGTCTGTATGTTGTGTTTCCTGTGACCACAGCCTGAGGGTGGAACAGAGTCACCAGGACTCCAGTAGGTCCACGCTGTCTTATTTAGAAACCAGAATTGGCAGATTGCAGAATTCAAGCTTTTTAGCCTTTTAGAAAGTACACAGGTCAGGTGCCATATGTTACATAACACCCTTAGCAGGGCCGCAGACCTGCTATGTAACACACCAATATTCTACGGCAAAACACGCGCGCTTTCACAGGAGGTAGCCGGGCTTTGTAGCCAGATGAGTCACAACAGATCTTGAATTTTCAGAGTTGTTTGGATTTCAGAATCCTGATAAGGGATTGGGCGAATTGCATTAACAAAGTTTTTCTCTAGCTCAGGCCCACTTACCGAAGGGATGAGGGAGAGGAGCTGGGATCAGGTGTCCCCCAGAGGGACAAAGACTTCTGTAGCTCTCTGGTCTGTCAGCTACGTGCGATCCCAGGTCATGGTGGCAGGGCCTTCTCTTCCCTCCTCCATCTGGGTTTTCTGAATGACTGGTCAGCTGTGTCATGTGATGTGATGTGGTTTGCCACCTGGAGCATCTGGAGACGCCCACACGAGCAGTGTGCACCCAGAGCAGGATCACAGCGGGCACAGATGCTGGTGGCTGGTGATGGCTTCAGAACAAGCTGCCAGAGGACATGGGCAGGGAGCTGAGCCATGACTCACTGCTCCAGATCAATCAGCAGGTAGCTCGGTGCTTTCCCTCTGCGCTTCTGCAAAAGTGTGGAACCCACAGGATCCAGCTCGGCAGGCCAGCTCCTGGGAGGACCCACTGCAGTCAGGTGTGCTGTTACTCTCCTCCCTGTACCCAAAGAGCTGAGATTTACCAAGAAGTCACCTTTAAGGGCTCAGCAGAGGGCATATGGTTATGTCATTGGACTCCCACATGGCTGACCACAGTTGGAGACTTGGACCTGGTGGCTTGGAAATCACACTGGGTACATGTGCATGTGTGCCCAAAATCCTGGGAGGAGAATGGAGGGGGAGGGATCGTGGCATGGCCTCCCCTGGGGAGTGATTTCTCACTTTCCCTCTCACTGTCTCTATCTCTCTCTCTCTTTGCCCTAAGGCAAAAATCTCTCTCTCAAATATAAATAAATAAATAAATAAATAAATAATTAAAAATATCACCTTTAGTGATCTGGCACTGCGGCCTTGTGGTTAAGGGAGTCAGATCCCACATGGTTGACCATGGTTCAAATCTTGACCCTGGTGACTTGAAAAAAAAAAGATGCCCTATATCTCTACAGGATGGAGAAATGGAAGCAGAGGGACTGTGGCATGACCATACCCCACTGGGGATACTCTCTCCTTCTCTGTCTGGCAAGTGCATGTATGTGCTCTGTGAGCGAAAAAAAAGGCCACTTCAGAGGAAGGAGAGTGTACAGTGCTGGGAAGTCTGCTAAGCATGTTTTACAGAATGTCAGCTTGGATCCTCACCACGGCCCCATGAAATATTTATATAATTATTGTATATCATTACTCCCCGCCCACGGGGGGAGGAGGAAACACTTCCAATGGGGCACGGTTATGGCACGTGGCTTCTCCATTTTTCATCCCCTCGAGATTTGGAGCATGCACATGCAGACACCCAGCATTTTTTAATCCTTTTTACTTAATTGTATTTGTTATTATTATTTTAAATTTGACCAGAGACAAACAGAGAAAGAGAGACAGAGAGAGAAAGTGAGAAAGCAAGTCACCAGGTCTGGGACTCAAACTGTGGTTGGCCATGTGGGAAACCAGTGCCTTAACCACCACGCCACCTGCTGGCCCTCAGCATGTGTTTTAAACCACCAGGGACAGGATTCCAATCATGTGGTCATATGGGATTCAGCTTCCCTAACCACTAGGCTATGGGACTAACTCTATTGCTATCTAAATAATAGTAGTAATTTACTTACCCTTTTCCAATTTGTGCCTTTTATTTCATTTTCTTGCCAATGCCACGACCAGAAACTCTAGTACAATGTTGAATAGAAATAGTGAAAGTGAACATTCTCGTTTTGTTCCTGTTTTTAGTGCAAAAGTATCCAGTTTTTCACTGTGAAGTGTGAAGTCAGCTGTGAAGTTTTCATAAATGCCCTTTTTAGTTTAGGAATGTTCCCTTTCTTTAAAAAAATAATTTTATTTGTTTATTATTATTATTTAAATTTGCTATAGGGCACATGTGCTCACCAGGGGGAGAGAAAAAGCAAGCTGCCAGTTTTGGGGCTGAAACCATGGCTGGCCCTGTGGGAGTCCGCCTACTAGCCCTGGGAATGTCCCGCAGTCTGTGTGGTGTATTTATCATGGATGAGTACTGGATTTTGTCAAGTGCTTTTGCTGCATCTCTTGAGGTGGTAGTTAATTACAGAGGTTCGTTCCTGGGACTTGATTTCCCAAAGATAAAGCTCCTAGCCCTAGGGACAGGAAGCAGAG